AACCTGCACTGAGAAATTGATTATAAATGACTGGAAAATGTCTATAGGATCTTAACAAATTAGAAATGTAGCAAATAAGCACCTTTTAGTTGCAAAGGCTTCATGACAAAACCTAGAATAGCGAAGGGAAGCATCAAGATAGCCTCCCCCCAGAATGCATAACGCCAACCTAAATGTTTTCCAACCTGTTAGCAATGGAAAATCATTTTCTAGTGGTCACCTTTAATTAACTAATGGATGAAATAAAATATAAACACAAAATATGAATTTTAACAATATTTAATGTATGGTCAAAGAAGGGGAATTCTTATGTTTCAAAGCAGTATGTATAACTTACCACCCCACCATAAACATATCCAACAGCAAATCCAGTTGGTATGCACATGTAAAATATACCAAGCCATGATGATTTCTGATGCAAAGGAAGGGTATAAGATCAGCGAGACACAAATTACCCAATGAATTGTTGTTGAATTTGTATGTTAGAAGAGAATGGTGTGGAGAAATGAAAAAATAAAACTGAAAAAACAAAACAGAAATGGAACCTGAGAAACTGGTGCATTGTCATCAATGAATGGTGCTGCTAGACTTATAAACGATGCCTCACCCACACCAACTAGCCTAGAAAGACCAAAAATAGAAAATATATCCTACCTTGGTACATATATAATCAAAAGCCATAAATTGGATGTAGATATTAAAGAAGGATAATTTGCTTACATGCGGCAGACAGAGATGAACCAGAAATTGAATGAAAAGCCACAACCAACTACAGCAGTGGTCCAAACTGATAATCCAATTCCAATAAGTCTAAAGGGATTAACACTGAAAGAACAAATAAACAAACACTCAGATCTCATCCATTTTGACAAGGGTCTTCTATAGAATGGAAGAAAAGGTTACACATGGAGAATTAAATTATGGCCAAATACAAATGATCCAATTTATGTGGCAGGATACCTGATAACAGACACTTGGCTACCTCTCTACAATTTAGATATATCAGCATTTCCACAAAACCATAAGCCATTACCTCTTTGCTAATGATGCAAAAACTGGAGAAGAAATAAGAAGGCCAACCATGAACGCAGATGACAGAATTCCATCTTTAAAATTATTCAAGTTAAATTCTCCCCTACACAAAACATTGAAACCAAATTAAGCCAAAGAAGTTGAGGCTTCCCTATTGAAATCAAGTTCGTTTCCCCAACTCCTTACTGTATTCCACTAGCGGGTATGCACTTTCCACTTTTCGAGCAAGTTCTGCGACTACCATTCACACCATTGCTGGCTATTGCTCCTCGATCAATATAATTTAACATATTGATAACACAAAAGATAAACAGCAACCTGTGAATCATTAAACTTTTTATCAGATTCAAATGTCGTGTGTGCGTATCCAAGCTCAGGAAATCGAGCAAAAATCTTGATTTAAAGCATTTCTGAAATCCGAGAACCCCAAAAATGAAAAATGCAGTACAAATCAACATTTAAACAATTACCAATGTTTATCAAAACCAACCCATCTAATGATCTAAGAAAATTACTTCACAACACAACTACACAGTAAAGAAAAGCAGCTCCCTTTTATTCTCTTTTCATTTTCCCAGCAACCAAACAGAACCAAAAACCCAAACTTTTTATTAAAGAACGCACCTTTTGGGTGTAAACCATGATGGGATCGAAGTTGGCAATGGGTCTGAACTCTTTCCCATCTCTGCAACCGCCAATGGTGTTGGGTCTACAGAAGCAGAAGCCTTCACTCCTTGCTGCTGTTCTTCCGCCATGAATATACACAATATGTATATATTTTATACGTTCTGTATATTAATGGAGAATTGTCCTCTTCTTTTTCGTACGGTAGTTAAATAATACTGTAGCTTTAAATAGAAGAGAATCTCCTCTTTTTTTGGTCAGGAGTTTTTAAGTTGGGATTACAAGTTCCTGGTGTCATTCTCTGCTTCCAGTCCACTGTACCCATTATGTACTCCTCAGTTCAGATCTTGTCACGTCGATTTGATGGAGAAGATCACGATAGTAAACCGTTCTGATTCTGCATCTTTTCTTTTCTTAGCATTTATTACTAGTTGATTTTTATATATAAAAAAAAAAATCTTGGATGATAAATAATAATAGATTAGTTTATTTTTTAACTCAATTTATTTTTTATTTATTATCATTAATGGGTTTTTAATCTTAGAATAAGAGTGTATTATTTATCTTTAAACTCATTTCATCTTTCATTTATTACTATTCTTTTTAATTTTGAATTTTAAATAATAAATTATTTTATCTCATAACTCATAACACTCATTTATTAATATAAACTCAGTTAAAATTTTTCTAATAATAAAAAAGAATATCCCATCAAATCCTATAAAAGGGTATATTGAGCATATACTATGCAATTCTTTTTCTTTTTTTTTCGAAAAATGGTCAATGGAATATATTACGCTATTCTGTTTTATTATTCTTTTCTCAAAATAAAATAGGGCTCAACTACAAGTTCCAATTGAGTGACCAGCTCAGCTCTCCAAACAGAGTTGAGCTCGGACAAAAGAATTGCATTTTTTGCTTCTTTAGGGACAAATTTTTTCGACTGACTGTCAACCGATCACTCAACGATATGAAGCTTTTTGCGTGGCCTTTCGCAGCTTGTGGTTTTTTTTTTTTTATAAAACCCCTCAACTAAAAATGAAGTGAACAAACACTCCAACTTCTCATATGAAGCAAATCAGTCCCTTTGTTAACTCAACCCCTCCGTTAACTTAGCTCCTCAACATCGTTTGTGTAATGGCATGTGTGGTAGTTAATTCCCATGTGGCATCCAACGTGGCTTGTGTGGTAGTTAAGTGGCATCCAATATGTCATTTGTTAGTCATTAAAGGAAGAAAATTTGAGATTTTAGGGATTTCATATTAAATTCTACACCTCAAATCTCTCTTCAATGTCCTCTGATTCTCCAGACTTATCCCCCATTCAATCAATCTCTTCTGATTCTTTTTCTCAATCTTTGAGATGCCTAATCAATTAAAGGAAGACGATTTGAGATTTTAGAGATTTCATATTCAGTTCTTCACCTAAAATCTCTCTTCGATGTCCTCTAATTCTCCTAACCTTTCTTTGATCGATCGATCTCTTCTTATTCTCTTTCTCAATCCTTGGGATTCAGTAATCAAGCTCAGCTTTCTCAAGAGACTTGAGCAATCAAAAAATTTTACCTTAAAAGAGGCAAAATTAAAATAAAAAAAACAATATCAAATTGTATCGGTTAGTCACTTCATAACAAAGAGCTTTTGCCTGGCCTTTCTCATGCTTTTGATTTTTTTTCTTTAATCGTGATTTTATATATATATAAGATTAATACGTATTAATCTTAATTAAAAAAATTAAAGCCTCAATTTATATTTAAAAATTAAAATTGTTATTCAAAATTTAAATTTTAAATTAGTTTTTAAATTTAAATATCAATATTTATAAATTTTTAATCTTTAAATTAAATTTTAATTAAATAAAATGATATAATTTAAAAATTAAGACTTTAATTTTTTTAAAAGTTAAAATTGATTTTTTCATATATATATATATATATTTATATAATCAACTCCTGTGTTTTATATAGTTGATTTATCTTTATCCAATTGCTAGCTTGAAGTTTTTATCTTCCTAATGGTAAATGTTTGATGAATCAATAACATATGTCAATATATATATATATATATATATATTCAATTCTATTTTTTTAATAGTTGTGGTGAAACTTTCTAAAAAATTTTGTTTAGTTGTGTACATTAGAAACATACTGTTTTATTAACGAGTTAAATATATAAAAAATAAGTTTATATAAAATAATATTGAATGTGATTATATAACACTAAAATAAATTTTTGTGTTGTTCTCTGTTATATATGCCCTTAGAGATTCCTTCATGCAAGAGCATGTACAACACGTTGTATTCCGTTGTTTTTGCCCCTTTTGTGGCAAATTTTTTTGGGCGGCGACCACTTCATGGCAAGGAGCCTTTGGGTGGCTTTTCTTACGCTTCTGATTTATTTTTAAGTGTCAACTCTTCTGTCCTTTATTTTTTTTATAAATCAACTCCTTTATCTTTTATAATTAGTCTATTCTCATCCAACTTAAAATTTTTATCTTCTAAACAATATATGTTAGATAAGATAGATCAACAGGATAGGCTAATATATATATATATATATATAATTGTTTTCAATTCTGTTTTTTTTTAGTAATAGTACGACTTTTGAGGAAACTTTGTTTTATTGTATACATTGAAAAAATTGTATTTTATTCGATGTTTTTATTTGAGACTTAAAAATATATATATAAATATGTTTATATAAATGTAATAATATGATACTAGAGTGAACATTTATGTTATTCTCCGTTGTACATACTCTAATGGCTCGAGAACACTTTTTCCATAGTTTCTTGCTTAGTGATGTAATTTCTGTGGAAAATCCAGGAAGGGAAACCCAGTACTGGAATCATATTGATGAATAATCAACGATATACATCTAGTGTGGTTCTGGAAAAAATGAAAATCTTACATGAAGCTTTAGAGTTTTTGGCTGTACAAAGAAATGAAATGTAGATGGTCCGGTGCCTACAAAGTTTAGCTTGTTTCTTTCCATAATGTCAGTAACTCGAAGAAAACAAGAAAAAACTTGAGGCCTTCAGCTTCTATGGTTCCTCAGTAGCTATTATCTTTCCTTCACTATCTGCAGTTCCTAGTACAAAGCCATTCTCTGTATCTAGTTCATGGTATGCAACACCTTGGCCATCTGAATTCCCAGACTGTTTGAGTCCACTGTCATGCTGTGCTGGATCTGATTCTCCATTAAATCCAGAAACTTGAGTTGCATCTGTCTTGTTTTCTCCTGTTGGCTTGTCTTCAGGTGATGATATGGATCCTTGAGCCCCAATAAAGTCGGTCAATCTTACCTGGACAAGCAAACTCATTGGTAAGGAAAAGATGCATTTGGGAAAGCTAAAATACTAATTCATTTGCTAGAGCCCTAACCATTTGATCAATGCCACAATTTCCTCAAGATGTTGGAGAATGGTGAGGTTAAGAATGAATGGATGTATTGCTTCATTATTTTTAACAAGTTTGACTAGCCAAATCCAGTAGGAGGGGGTGCAGTAAGAGAACTTTCAATTTGAGCCTAGGTTTCTTGCATCTATGACTATGACAAAGTTCTTTTTGCACCATGCACACATTTATTTACCTGCAACGGCTCCATTACGTCAAATTCTCTATCATCAGTTTTGCCAAGTTGTTCTTGAGCTCGTAATTCCATGGAATCCCGGACAAGCTTACTCAGAAAGGTCACATCATCTGACATGACACCAAATCCTGTCAAAAGCTTCGATCCAAGTTGTAGGCTGGTCTGCAAGAATAATCAGGATGTAGTCAGGTCAGGGTTTGCCCAGGTAAAATTGCTGGAGAACTTCTGAAATTATGAACAATAAAGAGTTAATCATCAATACCTCAGCATTCTCCAAAATTGCATCAGTTGCACCTGATTTCTTCAAATCTAAGAGATGCTTGAGGTCTTTAGCCCTGGCATATATTGGGATCTGTTAAGCAGAAAGTCAGATGGACATTAGCAGTACTTCATAGAATCTGTTCATAGCATTTGTTGTGAAACAGAGGATTCAATGATGATAAGCTGTTCTCACAAGCCATATTTTATGAGCATTGAAAAGTAAACTTTAAGGTAACAAAAAGCACAGTAAGTTTTGTTGTTTGCTATCTAAATTAAAACCTTTCCCTAGAGAGAGAAAGGGAGAGAGCATTACAGCAGGGTAGGCAAGCCGAAGCCTTTCAACAGCCTCGATTGTTCTCTTTCTTCCTGTGTACATTATCATGACAGCTTTTGGAGAAGAGATACCAGCAGACTGCAGAACTTCTGGACGCGACCCATCTCCATAGAGAATTGGAAAGCCAAGCTTTCTAGATGCCTGCATATCCAATTAAAAATATTTATGATCTTTTCTTACAGATCAAAACAAATACTTATCACACTCAAATTTGTATAGAGAATATTAACATGACATAAATTGTTTGGAAATTTCCAAACCTTCACCACTGAAGGATTAAGGTCAAAAGCTACATAAGGGCATCCCATAATCTCACGATCTACCCCAGAAGCCAATGGGGTGGACAATAAATTGGCAAGGATCTGCGAATAAAAATATTAGAAATCTAGAAAACAGCTTCAGCCAAGTACACAACTGCAGAATAACTTGTTTACCTGACCCATTTGGCCAAAGCCAAGGATAACCACAGGTTCACTTGCACTGAAGTCTACCATCTCAGCAGCTTCCTGTGAAAAATTCTTCCTTAAGCTAACACATCCAAGAAAAAAATAGCTATGTGAAAGTGATTTTAGTGATCCTAATTTCAAGTCTCAACTTCTTTTCTCAGCATACACGTACTAATCAACCACAATTCACAATAATACAGTACAAAGAATGCACCTACTGAAATGATACCATACAAAATTCATGAAAATTTTAAGTCAATTGCCCTAGGGCAGGTTTCTATCATTTGCTATATTAAACTCCAGAATGAAAAACCTTCTAGTTGTTTACATACATCCTGTGTGTGAAATTTGTCATCAATAAAATCAGCAGCCTTTCTTCCAACTTCATTGAGCAGAGGAGTCAATGCCATAGACAATACAACAACAATAATGAGCAGCTTGTTGAGCTCAAGGGGTAGCACTCCAAGCCTGCCTCCACAAAGGCAGAAGACTTTGTAAGCAGAAACAAACTATGAATACTTAAATAGTATAGTTATAATTAACTTAAGTAATGACTCACCTGTTTGCTAAAGAAAAAACTACAAATGCAAACTCGCCTCCTTGGGAAAGAAGCAGCCCTATTCTTACACTTTCTTGGATGGTGAGTCCAACCCGGGGACCTATTGCTGTAATAATCAGTGTCTTTATGACAATTAAACCTGCCAAGAGGGAAAGTACATTTGGCCACTCTTGGAAAAGTAGCTGCACCAGAAAACAAAATAAATTGCATCAGAGCAGTTCAAGGCTAAAATTATTAGTGAATATGCAGCTTTGATAATAATTCGTATGTTTTACGCAATCATGTATGTAACAACACGAGCAAATATAATAATTAAAGTCAACATAACCTGGCATGGAAAACAGAACGTTTTCTATCTTAAATTCTTTTCACAGTGAACAGTGAATGCAAGTATGATATTCCTCAATTTTTAATCATCCACAACATTTTGTACTGTTTTACCAGTCAAAATTCAAGGCTGAAAAATAAGATAGAAAATGTTCATTGAAACTCAGCCATTTTCTACCAATAGTCACCGCAAGTGCAAACCCCATCCTTAAAATGATGGTAACGAATAGGATCTCTAATGACAATAAGGCAATTCTCCATTTTTGCTACAAGCTTTGCAAAGGTATGACAGTCTCCACAGATCCTAAGATTTTTCCTTATCCTAATGGCGTTCCCCCTTGACAAGCTCATTAAACCAAAGACAATAGCCAATTTCTCACTATGGTATCTAAGTGAGTCTTCTCTTTGTTCCCTCTCAAGATCTTGCAAGACAAAATTGGTGTCAGGAACATAACCGATTCCCATCAATTCATGAATCAAGTGATTCAGCTTCCTGTTGATATCTTTAATTTGTGGATGTGAGTTATCTCCTAAAATGAAAGCATGAATCTGCTTATTTGCTTCAATCCAACTACACCCCGGCTCTTTTGTGATTCCCCTGTCTCTCATTGCCCTCCTAATTTCTGAGACATCCTCCCATCTTTGAGAGTTTGCATAAATATTAGACAGCAGTATATAGGTTCCTGAATCTTGGGGATCTAGCTTTAGAATCTGTTTAGCAGCATATATAGCTAGGTCCACATTCCGGTGAACCCTGCATGCACCAAGTAAAGTTCTCCATATCACAGCATCTGGTTCACATTTCATTTCTTGCATCAAATTCAGTGCCTCATCAAGCTTCCCAGCCCTTCCAAGAAGATCAATCATGCAACCATAGTGTTCCCTTCCAGGATCAATCCCAAAAAGGTTTTTCATTGATTGAAAATAGTACAATCCTTCTTCCACAAGTCCAGCATGGCTACAAGCAAACAGAACCCCCAGAATAGTAATATAGTTTGGCTTTATTCCTGAAACTTTCATTGACTCAAAAAATTTCAGTGCCCCTTGGCTCTGCCCATTTTGGGCTAATCCTGCAATCATGGTACTCCAAGAGATCACATCTCTCTCTGCCATCCGATTGAAGACAAACTTTGCATCTTCCAAACTACCACACTTGCAGTACATATCCAAAAGTGCATTGTTGAGTATCAAATCTTGATGAAATTTAAACACATGAACATGCACTTGTCTCCCCACTTCAAGCAGGGCTAACCCAGTGCAGGCTCTCAAAACACTGGTCAGTGTAGATTGATCTGCTGAAAAACCATCTCTCTTCATCCTCCTATATTGATTCAGAGCTTCATCACCATCACTGTTTTGAGCAAAAGCCCCAATAATCGAATTCCAAACCACCAAGTCCCCTGTCCTCATCTCATTGAAAACACAGAGTGCATCCTGTAAGTCCCCGAATTTTGAGTAAATATCAACGAGAGCGCTCCTGACAAAAACATCCAATTCCAACCCAACTTTAATTATACCACAGTGAAGCTGTTTAAGATTCAACAACCCTTCACACGCCCTCAAGACTGAAGAGTAAGTAAACATATTAGGCCTCACACCTTCTCTAAGCATGAGAACCAAAAACGCCAAGGCCTTTTGATTGAACTTCGCATTGGCATAAGCAGATATCATCGTGGTCCAAGAGACAACATTCCTCTCAGGCATTTCGTCAAACAATGCTCGTGCTTCCTCTAATAAGTTGAACTTAACATACATATTGATGAGAATGTTGACAAGAAACGTCTTGGGCTCATACCCATTTGAGAAAACGTGCTTGTGAACCATTTTTCCCTCTGCAACCGCACCACGGGCCATGCAGCACTTAATAAGCTCGGAGTATGTGATGGAATCAGCTGAAATGCCATACCTTTCCATGGCTGCCATGGTCCTCACGGCTCTCGGGAGGTCTTTCTGATAACATAGATTGGTGAATTCGTCAAGCAGAGCAGATGATGACGCATTCTGTGGCGTAGTGCTAGATGCGAAGGGAGCGAAAGAGCGTGGACGAGTTAGAGAAGGTGGTGGCAGTGGTATGCGTTTTAGCCATTTCATTGGTAAATAAGGTAAAGTGATTTTGAAGACATCAAACAGAAGAATTGAATTCTTCCCATTTGATTTCATCATTCTCAATAGTGAGGGCTCACTTCTTTGCCTTTGCGAACCTTAGGCATCGACATTTTTCGCGACTTACAGTGATTTCAAGAGCTCCATCTTGGCGTGGTGCAGTTCCCATTAGGACACTTCTCGGCTTACGTTAATTTCCCAGTCCTTCAAACTCAAACGCTGCGTTTACTCTCTCAATTTCTCCTCTTTTTTAGAAAAATTTAGGCTGCTGTTGGGC